GTTTGGTTAACCGATTGCTTCCCATTTTGTCAGAGTTAATATCGGAGAACCAAAGTGCATTTATTTCAGGATGGTTGATCTCAGATAATTCTATCATTGTTTTTGAGTGCATTGATTATATCCAAAATCTGAAGGCTAATTCACCGGCATGTTGTGCTTACAAGCTTGATCTTTCCGAGGCTTATGATGGGGTGGATTGGGAGTTTTTGGAGAAGGCCCTTCTTAAGTGGGGGTTCTCACATCAGTGGATTTCATGGATAATGACATGTGTTTGTTCAGTGAGATACTCGGTGAAGTTTATGTTGGAAATATGAGCAATTTATCATATGATTTTATTAACGGAAATAGTAGATAAAACATGACTATTGTAGCAGAGATATAACAAGTTATGCAATCCGACAGAGAGAAAGTAAATAGCATCTGAATATATGAACTAGAACCGAACATATCTAGAGCTGATACTATAGCAAGAAGCTGTGGCAGAACATCAAACAGAAAGAGCATGAGAACGTATGGTGCAGCAGCAGCGGAAGCGCTGGTCTTGGGGTTGTTGTTGCCAGCCATGTCGTCGAAGAGGTTGTCGACGTCAGGGAAGAAGTCGTCGTTGGAGTCCAGGGCGTCCGTGACGAAGAAGTCAGTAGTTGCGTGAAGCGCTCCCCAAAAACCTTACCACCCTTCTCCCGTACGGGGGTTAAAGAGGTGTGGTTTCGGAGGCCTACTCTCCTGACTTACGGTGCACACCGCAAACCGGGATGGGGAAGAATATAGCAGTAGCTCGGTGGTCAGGAACGTGGGGGCGAGAGGAATGTGTTATTCTGGTATGGAGATGAGCGACCTACCTTTTATAGGCATAGGAGAGAGAGGCGAGAGGGCAGCGTCGGAAGGTGAAACGAAGAGACGGAGACAAAGCGAACAGCCAGCAGCTGAAGGACTGTACCGTTCACATTCAGTCTCCACCATCGGAAAAAAATCAGCTTTTGTATACCAGTCGTGTGTGGCAAAATTTAGACATCGGCTCGGCTCATTCCGGCAACCCGCGGCGCGACGCGGCGTGACGAGGTGTGGTGTGCGGCGGAGGAGGAGCGCGTGTGAATGTCCCTCTTGTTCTCATGCTCATACATGTGGGGAAACATCCTCCCTTATAAGGAGGTCCAACTCCCACCAAACTAGCAATGTGGGATTAAACTTTAGTTCCACCTCTTGCCTTACACGAATGGGCTGCGTGGGCCTCTAGGATTCATTAGGAATTTCTGAAACTGCTATTGGGATGGCCCAAAATAGACAAAATTCCAGCAATCCCCCACCAGATTCTAGAGGCACGCAAAATTTGCCTTTGGTTCCAAAATAATGTTTTATATATCGGTACTGAAGTGGAGACTATTAAGTTGAACTTCCACCTAGAACTCTATGCTACACTAGTAAGCAACTTGAACAGTGGACTGAGCCTTGACCGATACTAGGCTACCGTGGGTCTTCCCCGCGGGTGGAGCTTATGCGTCATACCCCCGAGACCTTTCATGAGTTTACTAGAGAGCACCCTACTCTTATAGATTGCGACGTTTAACAATCAGACTCATATAGGTGTGTTCTTTAAAAGATGTTCTGCAGGACAACATCTCTGCTTGAATGAGCCACTTAGAACACATTAAGATATACATCAACCTGCCATGCAGATTAGGAGAGTATTGCATCTTCATGGAGTGGTATTGTTAATAGTAAGGATACTCTCCTCTTAGTTGGCCAACAGCTTGTCTCCACATCTAATTCACGGGATCTCTGATCACATGGACTAGGTTACCACTATGAACAACTCATATTATGGGTCTCATACCCATCTCCTTCGATGCATTATCTATCACATTACGTGATAGACCCTTAGTAAAAGGATCTGTCATATTTTTAGATGTTTGGATATAATCCAATGCAATAACTCCGAAGTTGTTCATTTTTCTGGCAGACTTCAACCTTCTCTGAACGTGTCTTGATGACTTTATATTATCCTTTGAGCTGCTCACTTTCGTGATCACGGTTTGATTGTAGCAGTTCATAAGGATACCCGGTACAGGTTTCTCAACTACCGGCAAGTCATTAAAGAGCCGGCGAAGCCAATCTGCTTCGACCGTAGTTGTATCCAGTGATGTGAGTTCTGCTTCCATTGTTGACCTCGTTAAGATGGTCTGCTTGCAAGACTTCCAAGAAACAACGCCACCTCCATGAGTGAATACATATATGCTCATGGCCTTTATCTCATCAGCATCTGAGATCCAGTTTGAGTCACTATACCCTTCCAGTACCTTAGGGTACCCAATGTAGTGAATTCCGTAACCCGTAGTGCCTTTTAAGTAACGCATAACTCTCTCTAGAGCTTTCCAATGCACATCTCCTAATTTTGAGACAAACCGGCTCAGTTTGCTAACACCAAAAGAGATGTCAGGTCTTTTAGCACTGGCTAAGTACATAAGCGAGCCAATAATCTGAGAATATTTCAACTGATCTCTAGCAATTCTTTGATTCTTTCGAAGCAAACACACTAGCATCATATGGTGTTGGAGAGGGCTTGCAGTCACTGTAGCCAAAGCGACTCAAGATATTTTCCACACAGTGAGATTGTTGCAATGTAATCCCACCATCATCGTCTCTCAACAACTTGATGTTCAGAATGACATCAACCACTCCTAAATCCTTCATCTCAAAACAACAAGATAGGAAATCCTTGACCTCCTTAATAACATTTAGATTTGTTCCAAAAATCAGTATGTCATCAACATACAAGCAAAGGATAACTCCCTCGCCCCCACCATGGTGATAGTACACACATTTATCAGCTTCGTTTACAACAAAGCCTGCAACTGCTGAAGTTCTTTCAAACTTCTCATGCCACTGCTTGGGTGCTTGCTTAAGTCCATACAAAGACTTCAGCAACTTACACGCTTTTCCTTCCTGACCATCTACTACAAACTCATCCGATTGTTCCATATAAATTTCCACAAACAACTCTCCATTTAGGAAAGCAGTCTTAACATCCATTTGATGAACTAGAAGACCATGTAAGGCAGCTAGTGAAAGTAGTACTCGAATAGTGGTCAGTCGAGCCACAAGTGAGTAAGTATCAAAGAAGTCTTCACCTTCCTTTTTGTGTATAACCCTTAGCCATGAGTCGTGCCTTGTACTTCTCAATAGTACCATCTGGCCTAAACTTCTTCTTGAATACCCATTTGCACTTTGCACCCATAAGGACGATCAATTATCTCCAAGTTTCATTTGCCAAGATGGAATCCATCTCACTACGGACCGCTTCCTTCCAGTAGTCAGCATCCTCAGATGCATAGGCCCCTGAAATAGAACTTGGTGTGTCATCTATGAGATACACAAGAAAATCATCACCAAAAGACCTTGCAGTCCTTTGTCTCTTGCTCCTAGTAGGAACTTCATTGTTATCCTCCATATAATTTTCAAAGTGTTCCATCGAAATGGTAGGTTCAGTAATTGTAACTAATTCCTGATTTGATGAACTAGGCATCTCCTGATTTGATGAGGTAGCCATATCCTTCATGGGAAAGATATCTTCAAAGAAAGTCGCATCATTAGACTTCATGATTGTTCCGTCATGCATGTCAGGTACCTCAGATTTTACAACCAAGAATCTATAGCCAATGCTATGAAAAGCATATCCCAGGAAAACACAATCCACAGTTTTTGGTCCAAGCTTACACTTCTTTGGAATTGGCACATTGACTTTCGCCAAACAACCCCAGGTTCGTAAATAAGATAGTTTTAACCTTTTCTTCTCCCATTCCTCGAATGGGGTTATCTCTTTGTTCTTTGTGGGAATTCGGTTTAGGACATAACATGCAGTCAATATCGCCTTCCCCTACCATGCCTTGGAAAGACCCGATGTGTCTAACAAGGCGTTAACCAAATCAGTTAGAGTACGGTTCTTTCTTTCGGCTACCCCATTTGACTGATGTGAATAGGGAGGCGTCCTCTCATGGATTATACCATGTTCGGCACAGAAGGAATCAAATTCATTTGAGAAAAACTCTCCACCACAATCGGACCTAAGCCTCTTGATCTTTTGATCAAGTTGGTTTTCCACTTCAGCTTTATTGATCTTGAAATAGTTCAAAGCCTCATCCTTAGATCAGAAGATACACATGGCAGTATCTAGTGGA